CACACACACACACACACACACGGAGGGGGGGTCTGGCTAGGGGGGATTGTTGCTGCTGCATGGGTGGTTTTTTTGGGAGGGGTCTGGGGTTTTGTGCACGGGGAATTGGGTTTGGTAAAGTGGTCTCAGGTTAGGTAAGGGGGGTCTCATCCTTCCCCTGCCCACCACCCTCGGGAGACAGCCCTTGGGAAAGGGTGGAGGGATGAGATGCTCCCCCCACTCTGGGTGCTGGGAGCTGCTCAGGACCACCCCAGCCTCCACCAGACCCAAGCCCACATCACCCAGCCCCAGTGTGACTCATGGGCAGGGTGGGACCCCCAGCCCAGAGCAGTCTGAGGAGGGGGGACAGACACCAGCACCCCCCTCACCCAGCCCTGGAGCACCAGGATCATCCCTCAGCAACGACAGCATTTTGTGGACACCTTTCTCTGCTCCTGCCTCAGAGCCCCCCTGAGCGTGGTGGGCACACAGATCTCCCCAGGACCATGGGTGGGGGGCAGTTTTGGGGTTCAGCCCCCACCAGCACAGGGAGAGAGAGCTCCAGGGTGATGCCACAGGGACTGGAAGTGGATGGCTGCATCCTGCCCCTCCAAGCACCCTCATTTCTCATCCCACCCCTCCCCACCAGGCGTGGGCTTCGCCACGCGGCAGATGGCTGGGCTCACCAAGCCCACCACCATCATCGAGGTGGATGGGGACAAGATCACCATCAAGACCCAAAGCACCCTCAAGAACACTGAAATCAGCTTCAAGCTGGGTGAGGAGTTCGATGAGACCACAGCAGACGACAGACACGTCAAGGTGAGCCCTCAACACTGCCCCACACCCCCCAAAGGGTCTGTGGGCTATGGGGTACCCAAGCATCAACCTGTGGCTCCAGGGCTTCATCCTGGTTGCCCAGGGAAGGGGAACAGTTTTGTGCTTACTGGGGTTGCTGGTCAAACTTGGTCTAATCCAGATAACCCCTCCACCTTGGCCAGTTAGCAGCTGGAGTAGGATGGGCCCCAGAATTGCCGGGAAGGTTGTGCAAGAGCTGGTTTGCAAGTGCCAGCTTGCTCAAGAGGAGGCCTGGGGACCTGGTGAGCTGGCAGAGAGTGTCCCCACTCCAGAGGGAAGAGGGGCACAGACCTCTTTGCTGAGCCCCCTCTTTGCCAGCCCTCCCAAGCAGGCAGCTCTGCAGGCAGGGACAGGGGTGGATCACCAGGACAATCTCACCTGGCTGATGCCTCCCTAGGAGTCCCTGGGGAAGCCACAACTTCTCAGGCTGGGCTGTTCCTCCCTCTAAAAGCAAGGGGAAAAAAAAGCACCTGAGAGAGGTCAGAATGTCTTCCATAGCCTCTCCCACCCCGCAGAGGCATTTTTCCTTGCAGGACTGAGCCAGCCTCTGCTTTTCCCTGATTTCCAGCTGCTGCTCCCATGCACCAGTCGATACTCCATGCACAGAGCAGCTGGCAGCCCTGTGTCCCCCACCCAGCCTGGGGAGCACCTCAGGAGTGAACCTTAGGGCTTGTTAGACACAAAACCCCTTCCTGGCCCCAAAGCAGGAAGCAGAAGAGGACTGGGGGGAAGAGGACAAGTGTGAGCAAGGCAGCAGTGCCAGGCAGGTCCCTGCCCACTCCTGCTCCCAGCCACCAGAGCTGCTGGAACCCTTTCAAA